TGGTGAGAGCGGTGTACCGTTCCTCTTGAGTAATAACAAAATCATGTTGTTGAAGCTGCATGTTTCTTAACATTTCAAGAACTTCATCATTATTTTGTTGAGGTTGTGGTGGAGAATGAGGCATGTAGTATGACTCTTGCTGATACCAATCATTTGTTAGAAGCATGTAGGATGAGCCTAGAGATGTCCAACCTGTGTGTTTCCACTCTCCCCATCCATGATTTGCATATGGATTTTGAGCAGTTGAATGGCCCAACCACTCACTATTATCTTGTTCAGCATCATGAAGGTCATCTTCCATCTCATGAGCTTCTTCCTCTTCCTCTTCATCTTCGTCTTCGTCTGAATCTTCAACCCTTGAATTAGAGGCCTTCACTATGAGTCTATAATGTTTTGCTTCACGATTCCACGGATAACCCATCATGGTTAAGGTATTTTGACAGAATTTATGATCTGTTGTCAAAGACAGATATGGATTACCTTGAACAATAACCACAGCTCGATTAAGCATACTTTGAATAAAAGAGGCATAGCACAAAGCAGTACCTCTACCAGAATCCCTCAAAGCGAAAATCCTGCTAGCAATATAATGAGGCCAGTGAATCCTTATTTTATTTTTCAGAATATAAACCAAGTGTACCTCACCTTGGTCAACCCTAGAGTAGCTTCCCTTATTATGACGAAGGATGTGAGAGATGATCCACTGTAAAATTCTATCAATTGGCTTCAATTGACCCGTAGTAACCATTTTGGGAAATAAGTCACTGGCTATAATGTGATCAACAAAAGGTTTCTTCAGCATTAAGTTCAGAGCAGTCTTAAACTCATAGCCTTCATCCGTTTTAGTATCAGTGATCTTAGGACGAGAAGACAATAATGGATACATATCAAATAAATCTTTCCACACTCTGTCATTCACGGAGACCCTTCTTACGCCTATCTTACAATTATACTCATAACCATCAAACTTACCCTGAATATCCGTATAGAATAATCGGACCAGATCTTCATTGCACACGAGACCCTCATAAACTTACCTCGGATCAATCCTCAAAATAGGTATGATGCACATGTTGAAAGGGTGTGATCTGGTATCGAGATGAGAAACATCAAACAATCAAGTTGATGCGACGAAAGTGTCTCAAACAAAGTTGAGAAAATCTTATTTTCATAGTTATGCTTAAAATTACTTGAACAAATATGCTACGCTGATGAAAGTGAGTGGAGTATTTGGTCAGAATAGGACAACACGTTAATGAAAGTAGGTGTGTCCACTATTTTCTATATTTCTACAAATTGAATTTGTTTTCTCGTAATAAACCAGAGCCTACAAGATTCGGTTAGAGATACGAATAACTGATCACAAATCTTGTTTTTAAGTTTTTGTTAATTTTTAAACAAGATCAGTATTCCAAACCAAATCATCGAATGCATTAGATAAATAAAGTATCAATAGAACTCAATAATCAATAAATAGTCTCTCATGAATGATATCTTATTTTATTACTTTGATATAGTTGTACACTTGTAGCATGTTAAGGGTCAAGTGGGCACGTCTCTTACTAGGTGTCCATGACCAAGGTGCACTGAGATTTATGCACTGGCTCTAACTGGTTTTCCTTTGGCTCAACTGGCTTGTCTAGGTAAAATAACTATTAGAAAGTGTTGGTCTTCCCTCTTTAAAGAAGATTACTCATACTTTTCAAACAAATATGAAGAAGGTTATCTAGAGGATTTATCGGGCTTGGCGTATTACTCCCGTTGAGCATAAACACTTCTGGCCTTTGGAGCTGTCGACCAAGAGGAAGTCTTCCTTGATGACTATCTTCAGAGGGAGGATGAGTTCTCAAAGAATGTGTTAAATCCCTTACCGTTGAGCAAAATTGGTATTTAGAAGAACTCCAAGGGGTTTCTTTCATAATATTGGATATAAAGGTTGTTATAAAGTCTTTCGACTATCCTAGCACTCTGTTGAGAAGGTGAATCTTCTTCTGCATAAACTTACATAGAATAAAGAAGCCATGGTTTCTTCTCAGTCATTGTTATATAAGGTAGAGGTCGTTATTGATGAAACAGACCGGTTCATGGATCCTTCTCGGAAAAGGATAAAAAAGCTTGAGACATCTTTGAAGGAGTTTCAATAAGGTTAGAAGAAGGCCAAAGATATCCTTCGTAAGATGCATCTTAAGAACTTTGCCTTATCCAAGGAGTACGTGAAGTCATTCTAAGAGAGTTATTATCATCTCAACTATCTTAGTTTTCGACTCATTTAGAGGGATTTCTCGCTCTTGTGAGACCACCAATGATGGATCCAATATACTGATGCTTGCCTTCATGGATTTCATCTCATTCACTACCAATATCCTTCTTTCCTTTTAACTCTAGAGACAACTTCACTAATCTTCTTTGGGAATTTTTCTCTGCGGACAAAGCGCTACTTCTTTGGTGACTTTTCTCGTCTCCCCGGCTTCTCTTATTGTTTTAGGTGTATTATGCCACCCTTCTGTTAATCACTCCTTCTATTGCATCTTTCATCCGAATGTAATCATCTGTATTATGGTAGTGACTCTTATGAAAATGACAATATTTGGACTTGTCTGTTCTGAATGATTCATTGACCAAGTAAGGATTCCAAATTCGGACCTCCTTGATCTTAATAGTTGCACACTCCTTCCAAAATTTCACCCCCTATGTTTTTAAAGGGGTGTAAGCATTAAACTTGGACCTGCAACCACAATCTTTTTCATATCTAAGATGGCCATCATCCCTTTCTTATGCCTGAATGGATCTAGAATCTCCATCTCTTTGGCCTTTTTCTCCTTCCTCTTCCATAATCTTTTCTTCATAGTTAATGTAGGGTTGTGCTATACTCAGAAATTAGTTAAGCTATCTGCTCCCTAGAGCCCCATCTTTTCTCAAAACATGCAGTCTGATCTCAACCTCTTCTCAAATATCTAACATTTCAAACCATCATTTGCGCCCCCACGCTTACCGCCACTTTGGTGAATCAGTCAATGCATTCGTTTAGGGTTTTTTTCTTCATTGGGTAACCCAACTAAGTATGCTCATTATCATGGGTTACCGCTTTCGAGCAGTGAAAGCTTCATAAAGGTCTTTTGAAGAATCTATGCTCTCATCTATGAGGGTCTTGAACCACATCATTGTAGATCTAATCAATGTTAATGCAAAGATCTCGCACTTTACTTCCCTTGGACATGATAGTAGTTTAACTAATTATATACGTTCTAAACATGTTTATCTGGGTCTCCGGTCCCATCATAGTTCTACAGCTTCTAACACTTCTTTAATGACATTGGAATCCTGCTATTGGAAATGCAAGCGGATATAAGGTTCTTTTTTGCTCTAGAACCGAAACGTCTTTGTCATACCCCTCCTTCCTTCGAGGATGACAGACCTCTAAGAGAATGTGGTTACTACTCCTCCCTTCATGACAGCGGGGAAGAGTTTTATGTATTTAGTGATGATTGCGAGTAGGGACATCGGGGTCTCTCCTCACGTTGATGTCGCCCTTACTAAGGCTGGTTCAGAAAAGACAACATGAGTGCATTGGGAGGACACCTCTTGCGTAATATTGTTTCTTACCGTAACATGTTGTTCGCACTTTTCAATCTTGTAGATCTTTTATGCCAAGAATTGTGAATTTTGCTTTTGTACTATATTGTAAACATTGTTTAGTAGGTCGGCATCACTCTATATTCTAAGTTTCACATGTAACAACTGAAACTCAAGGAGTATTTTCTATCCAGGTACAACAGGCAATATTGGAGGTCGATGTGATGGTTCACCTTGGTGGAGCTGTTGTGTAGATCCGAAGAACATAAGGGCTTGGAACGCTCGTTGGGTGAATCTTAGTGGATAAGGACCTTGTTGTGAAGGATTAGAAAGAGATGCTACTAGAAGCGGATTATCCTCTACTCGAGGAAGATGAGGAGGTGGAGTTTTAATAGATTTAACAACTACAACAGTGGATCGAGCGACTTTGAACGCCACAATTGTTGATGAGTCTAATGATGGATCTTTGGATGTTAAAGAAGATCAAAAAATTTCAAATAAATGATCAAGAATTAAATAAAATTTATAATAATTTCATTTACGACTTACTCCTTCCGTCTCAGAATAAAAGTCATTTTGAGATAGAGAAAATATTAAATAATAATAATAATAATAATAAAATAATGCTTAAAAAATCTATAAAGAAGAGTTTAATTTAATTAAAGAAGCGCACACACACAAGTACAAGAGTAATATTGAGTTGGAGATCCACATTGAAGAGCAAGTCAGTTTTTTAATCCCAACTGCTTTAAGATTTATAACATACCAATTTCGATCAATATCATATGAAAATCTAAATTAAAAAGGAAAATTATACAAAACTAATATGTATTTTACGATACCAAACAACCGCAGTTTCATTATCTCATAAACAAGAAAGAGTTCTGTTAGTTTCCATAGCACCGATTACGCGATTAGAGTGACAAATGAATTTGGCTACTGACAAGTGAGTGAGAGTCAAACGCGTCACGGCGCGTCGCTTTGCAGTCAATACTATAAATATGGTTAAAATACCATTTCCATCTTTTGGTTCTTGGTTTTGTCTTCCTTCTTCTGCAAGTTTTTTTCCTCTTCCTTCTTCTCATTTTCTTTCCCCCTAAAATCATTTTCTCGTGAAAATCCATTGCCGGAGAAAATGTTTCGTTTGTATTTTTCTTCTCTTCCTCCACCGCCACCTCAACCTCCCAACGCTATTATCGTAGCTGTTACGGTTGCTATTTTTCTTTTTGCCGTAAATCTTAGATGATATAGATATACATTTTCACTACATTCTTGATTTTAGGGTTTAGGATCTTCTTCTACATCTTTAGGGTTTAGTAGCTTCTTCTTGATTTTGATACCTCTACAGTAGCTTCTTTGCTTCAAGAATAATATACTGATTCTTAGAACGATTCTTGCATTTTGTGAGTGAGAATTTTGCCGAGAAAATGAGTAAGGAAAATCAATATGCACCACTCTTAGCACCGTTTGCTTCCGATGTTTACATCGAAGATCCTAACAAGTAAATTTCCACTTCTGATTATAATCTTTTTTTTTAACTCATAATTAACCGTTTTGATTTTCTGTTATGCTTTAATCATGTTCTGTTTTGAGTTCGTTATTATTTTAATCATTATATATTTTTGACCGATTATTATTATTATTATTATTATTATTATTATTATTATTATTATTATTATTATTATTATTATTATTATTATTATTATTATTATTATTATTATTAATTAATTAATTAATTAATATTCTAGTTTGTTATTTTTTTTCCGCCTAATTAATGTATTATATATAGTATCATTATTAATGAGGATTCTGTTAATTTGGTTTTGCAGAAGTTCAAGAATATCATACACGAGAAACTTTCTTCTCTCTTTAGCTAATTCTGGTAGTTACAAAACGCTGAGATTATCAAAGGAGATTCAGTTTGCAATGTCTTGGTAACAACAAACCTTCTTCTCTCTACATTGTGTATTGTTTATGTATAGATTGCATAATTTGTAACTCTTTTTTCTTGATCAGTGTTTTCGAAGGTTCGCTTGATCTCCTACCCTCACCTTATAGTGAACTAGGTATATACTGTTTAACTGATTATGTTCTTGCTATTACTTATGTGCTATCTTTGAATATTGTAAGTTGTTTAACAAAAGGATTTAAAGGTTCTTTATGCCTTCACACAGATTCTGTTTCTCAGAAAGTTTCTGCTTCTCAGAAAGTTTCTGCTTCTAAGGTTCTGGGTAATGTCAATATACTGCATAAGAGTAGTAAACCATATCTGCCTCCATGTCGCAACAAGGTTTGATTTTAATTATTTTTATTTGCAATACGTAGGTTATTATTCTATCTACAAATATGGTTTTGATTCTTTATCATGTAAGGTTGATTTAGGCATTCAAATATGACTTTGTTTCTTGATAAACTATAAGGTAGATTTAAGCATTCAAATATGGCTTTGTTTCTTGATGAACTAAGGTAGATTTTAGGCATTTAAATATGGCTTTTCTTGAAGAACTATAAGGTAGATTTAGGCATTCAAATATGGCTTTGTTTCTTGATGAACTAAGGTAAGATTTAGGCATTCAAATATGGCTTTGTTTCTTGATGAACTATAAGGTAGATTTAGGCATTCAAATATGGTTTTGTTTCTTGATGAAATAAGGTAGAATTAGGCATTCAAATATTGTTGTTTGTTGATGAATCAAGGTCCATATTATTCTGTTTTTCAGGCACTATCTTCTTCAAGTGGAGACAGCAATGGCTCACTAAAGAGTCACATATCTGGATCTTCTGACTGTACAGATCAGGAAGTGCAAGCAGAACAAGAAAAATGTCAAAACGTTTCTCCTGCAAAATTTGCAAAGAGTGACGGGCTTTGGGAGTCTTGTTTGTATCTTGAACCTCCATTGATCCATGATGTCCAAATTCAACAGGAATCAGAATTTAAATCTTCCTGTACCAGCTTTGAAGACTGTTCAAGTTTTATCTCTGGTTTTACTTTTCCTGATGAGGACAGTTTAATTACATATGACGGACCTTTCTCGACCCTTGAAGTGAAAATTCCGCCTAGTATTGATAGTTTCATGTCTTCCCCTGAAAGTAATCTGATTGAAGATGATTTGGATAGTCCAACTTTTAATATGATCAAGAATCTTGTGGAATCTGTACTTGATGGTGATAATGCTGATTACGATGACGATTATTATAATTTTGATAATGATAATTCCTGTATGGATGATATTATGGTGGAGCTGGTCCAGCATAAAGCTAGAGTTGCTAAACTAAACATTTCTTACCAGCCGTTTCATTCAAATCAGTTGAATCTTGGAAGGGATCCATTCTCTTTGTCTTCCCACTCTTGCCCATGCGGCTATAATAGTGATCATGGGCTAAGAAGGTTTGGTTTTGGAGCTGATGAATCATTGTTCCAACAGGGTATAATGGCATCACTTGAGGTGCCTTCATGGAAGGAGAAGACAAATCTAATGCAGAATTGTTTTGAATATCAGGATCCAGGCTATGACTGCTCTGTAAAGGGAGCTCCTGGTAAGGAAATGTCTGCATAACATTTTGTTTGAGTCGCGAGCTTTTATAACTGAAAACGTAAATGGGATGTTTAGTTAGCGATTTTAATTCTAAACATGTTAGATTCTCTTGTTGATGGCAAAGGCGGAACCAATCAAGCTGTTATTGACAGTTTCGAGGACAGGAAACTGGGAGCAAGTCAGTTCGCGGGAGGATTCTACTAGTTGCAGACTTTCCACCATGATTAGCAGTTGTTGATATTAGATATAGGAATATTAGCATAAAGAATAGATAATCCTTTGCCATGAATGCTCTGAAGCTGCTTTAATAGATCTCTCCTAGCTAGTATATAAAAAAAAAATACTTAGCTCCTGCTTACTACTCTGTTTCTGTTTGTTTGGATAATGTGTTTGTTGGCCAATTTTTAGATAATGTGTTTGCTTGTTTTAGTGCTTACTACTAATTACTACTACTTACTAATTTTGGTGCTTGATTGCTTTCAGATGTAGAATGGAACCTTGGTTTAGTCCATGACATGGATGACTTTATCCTGGGAACCATACATATTATATTAATATTTAAAAATCCTATTCAAGCATCAAATGGAAGTTTAAGTTATAATTTTTCAGAAGGTTAAATTTTTCTTTACTACAAATAAAAATACGTGGCAGGGTAGTACAATGCATGCTTGAAATCTTGCTATCATGATCTTCTAAATTTAACTAGCTTATTCCACTCCATTTTATCCTATACCCCCAGACACATAACAAGAGGCTAATTTTAAGTGTGCTTTAATTGAAGAGTCATTAATGTTCTTTTCCATTGAGAATCTTCAATTTTCCCAAGTTATGATTCTGATTTTGTATGTACTTGAAAGCATATTTCCTAATTGATTTTACTGTCACAACTCAAATGTGTTGATGAATTCAATGGCTTAAAATTTTGGAAGATATGTCTACATATCAAATGAAAGAAATATTAAGAACAATGATTTGATGAAAATATTGAGGTTGAGAAAATTTTCAATTTGGGTGATAAGTTATCTACCAAGTTTAGCGTCCTTTGATCTTAATGTAGGTTATTTCAATTTGTAGTGTATGCCAGCCCTTGAAACAACATTGCTAACCATAGAGAACTGAAATCTTTTTTTCATTTTCCTTTTCTTATAATTTTGAATTGTGTGACAAGAAGCACCAGAAAGTGTTCAATCAGTGGCACAGACAAACAAAACAACAAACCTGAAAGCGTTGAATCAGCTGTTTCTTCAATAAGTATATATGTGTATAAACTTTCCAGAATTAATCCAATATGACTAGTACTCTTGCTATTAAAGAGGAGACTAAAAAGGAGGTTGTTATGCATCCAGTGTCACAAAAACTTTTTCAAATTTAGTATATTTACTATTTTTTTAATTTTATCAACATAGTTTTTACATTTTTATATCTAATGTCAATATTATAATATGTTATTCAATTTTTTTTATTTAACTAATTAATATATTTTATTTGTATTTTTAACATTTTCGTTTCGATACCTACTCATATCTCTTATCTCAAATATCATATTGATTAAAGAGGGGCCTAATGGACCAAACATACAGAGGTATCTTCCAACAAGAGAATATGATCAATCCAAGTTCATGAATACTAATGATTTGCCTACTCCCACCATATGATGGACACCATTACAAAGTATTCAAATGTATAAGGGTTGCAGAATTGAATTCTTCTATGAGAATCTTATAATCATTCACAAACAGTGCAACAGAGAAGCTAGAACCATGATACAATCAACAATAACCAAAGCATTAGACTGAATAGTAATATAATCTAACTTCAACTCCTCATCCAATTGAAGTGCCTATCTAATGGCAAAAACTTCACTCGTACTAGCATCAACAAGACTAGATAACTGTTTAAAAACACCAAGAGAGATATTAGCATTAGTGTCTTTAACAACACAATCCAATGACACAATTCCTTCGGTAAAGCAGCCAACATCAATTTGAATAATCCAGGATACTAGTAGGAATCACATTAGTCATTGCAGCCTCCTTTTGCATACCAGTATTGTGCACCCTGTTGAATTTCACTATAGAGCCCCATATATCCTGGGCAATGTTAGGAAACTCGGATAACTGACTTAATTTATTGAATAATAGAAAAGCTAATATATAGCTGATTACACAAACTGATAAAGACTAATAAAGACTTAGCTAGAAAATAGAAACTAATAAAGACTAAATCAAAATGTATCCAAGTGCTGTGCTAACAGCCCTATAAAGTAGGATATTTATTCTAACAAACTAACCAAGTCATAATTAACCCTATCATTTCCTCCCTTAAACTAGACAGTATACTAGTTTAACTTAGGTGCATCACATACTCCAAGTTTCTTCCTAAGATGCTGAAATGTCTTCAACTTGAGAGGCTTAGTGAAAATGTCTGCTATCTGTTGTTCAGTGCCACAAAACTTCAGTTGTACAGCTCCTTCATTCACCATATCACGCAGGAAGTGGAACCTTACATCAATGTGTTTACTCTTTCCGTGCATCACAGGGTTTTTGGATAGCTTAATTGTTGAACTATTGTCGCAAAATATAACGGGACTGCTACTGCCATTATAGCCAAGCTTCTTCAACACTCTTTTCATCCATATCATTTGACATGTGCAAGCTGCAGCAGCTACAAATTCTGCTTCTGTGGTGCTCAATGCGACAATAGGTTGTTTCCTTGAAGACCATGCTACAGCTGCATTGCTCAGAATAAATGCATACCCGGATGTACTCTTTATGTCCTCCATACTTCCAGCATAATCACTGTCGGTGAACCCGATCAGCTCTGTATTTCCTATCTTCCTATAGAGAATCTCATAGCTAGTGGTTCCTTGTAAATACCTTAATATCCTTTTAGCTGCCATAAGATGAAGCTCAGTTGGATTTGACATGTATCTACTAATGAGGCTAACTGAATACATCACATCAGGTCTTGTAGTTGTCAGATACATCATGCTTCCAACCAGCTGCTTGTAGACTGAACTATTCACTTTCACACCATCTTCATCTTTGTGAATTTTGAAACCTGAAACCATTGGATTCTGCACAGAATTGCTTGCTTCCATTCCAAATTTCTTCAACATATCTTTCACATACTTCTTTTGGCTGATAAATATCCCTTCATCAAACTGTAATACTTCTATACCAAGAAAGTATTTCATCCTTTCCAAGTCAGACATGTCAAACTCCTTCATCATGGACTGTTTGAACTCTCTCATCATATCACTATCATTACCAGTATAGATCAAATCATCAACATATAGGCTAACAATTAAGAAGTTACCTTGTTTATTCACCTTAGTAAATAATGTTTGTTCACTTACATCCTTCTCGAATCCTATCTGCTTGAAGTATGACTCTATTCGACTGAACCATGCTCGCGGTGCTTGCTTGAGTCCATATAAAGCTTTGTTAAGCTTGTAGACCTTCCTTTCTTCATCCTTCAACTCATAACCCTTAGGCTGTTCAACATAGACCTCTTCCGATAATTCTCCTTGGAGAAAGGCAGATTTCACATCAAGTTGATAAATAATCCAACTTCTTTGAGCTGCAAGAGCAATGATCATACGTATAGTGTCCATACGAGCTACAAGAGCATACACTTCATCATAATCAACCCCTTGTTGCTAAGCATATCCTTTCGCCACTAAGCGAGCTTTATATTTTTCAATTTCTCCCAGCTAATTCAATTTGGTTTTGTATACCCATTTGACTCCTATGGTTTTAGCACCTCTTGGCAAATCAGTTAGCTGCCATGTCCCGTTCTTCTCGATTGTACTTATTTCATCATCCATTGCTTGTCTCCATTTTTCACTTTGCACTGCCTCTTCGAAACTGATTGGATCAGAGCTAGCAAAGAAAGCAAAATGTACTTGACCATCTTCTTCTTCTTCACCAATAACATCTTTACCAATAACATAATCATTCATCCATATTGGTTCTCTTTTAACTTTGATTTCTCTTGCATTAGAAGTTGTAGGATTGGCACTAGGTACAACAACCTCAATTGCATCACTTGTCATCTCCTTTTCTTCTTCTTCGTTGCTTTGTGTGTCATGATTTTGTTGGATGTTTTCATCATTTTCTTCTCCCACCTCTAGATCAAGTCTAATAAAATCTTGGTAACTTTCATCCCAATTCCACTTCTTTTCTTCCTCAAAGACAACATCCCTACTAATTATGACTTTCTTGTTCAAAGGATCATAGAGTTTATATCCCTTGGATTCTGCACTCACCCCAAACAGAACATAACTGCGACTTTTATCATCCAGTTTAGTTCGTCTAGCATCAGGGACGTGAGCATGAGCTACAGAACCAAACACTTTGAAGTGTTCAACTGAAGGTTTCACCCCACTCCAAGCTTCTTCAGGGGTCATGTCCTTGAGTGATGATGTTGGACATCTATTTAGAACATAGAAGGCCCAATTCACAGCTTCTGGCCAGAAATTTCTCGGCACATCTTTCTCAGCCAGCAGACATCTCACCATATTCATTACAGTTCTGTTTCTTCGTTCTGCAACATCATTTTGCTGAGGTGTGTAAACTGTGGTTAACTTCCTCTTAATGCCATTCTCTTTACAATATTCTTTGAACTCATTTGATGTAAATTCACCTCCACGGTCTGTTCTTAAGCATTTAATGGACAAACCAGATGCTTTCTCTACACAGGTTCTGAATTGCTTAAAGACACTAAACGCATCGGACTTATATGTAAGAAAATACACCCAAGCTTTTCTACTAAAATCATCAATGAAACAAATGAGATACCTTTTTTGTCCGTTGGAAGTAGGAGAGATTGGACCACAAATGTCAGAATGAATCAGCTCTAGTTTTTCTGAAGCTCTCCATATCGCCTTCTTTGGAATAGTTTCTCGATGTTGCTTCCCTTTTAAGCAGCCAGTGCACACAACATTGGTTTCAGCAAAATGTGGCAGCTGTTGCGGTGGAAATAGGATCACAAACTATTAATGAGTTTGAATCGCAATTCAATTCACAACCGCTCTTTGATTTATCCGAAGGAAAAGGTCAAAAGAGGGAAAACCTATTTTGCATCGTAAACACAATGCGGGGAAAGATCTAGGGTTCGGGGGTTGGTTAAGATTAGGGAAGGTATTAGCACCCTAAACTTCTGTAGTACTCTACAGGAACCTTTTGTTCAGATGTTTACTA